CTAGGAGGCCAAGATATAGGCCCATCGCGACCGATCCAACGATTGTTACTCCAGGTGTCCAAATAGTTACGCACAAAGCAAAGGCAAATGCTCGATCAAAAAATTCAAGCATTCTGTACCTGTTAATTTGTTGTTAAATGAGGATTTTCCTGCAACATTCATAGAACCTCCAACTGATTCGCCTCATTAGTGACACTTGGATTATTTATACATTTTTTACTATATTCCACTGCTCCATTTTATTCAAAACGTTCTCGTAGTGTAGAAAATGCTTCCGGCGTTGGATGTCGCATATTAGGCTATCCTTGCTTATAAATACGAAATGCTAGGAAACTATTTCTTTGGGCTTCGCCCAAAACGAACATCATATCCACCATTTCTTCTTTAGAAAAATTCATTTTCAAACACGTTTTTATTATAATGCTTACAAAGCTAATTTTGACAGTTTGTAACTAATCAAAAATTTATTTGTTTCAAAGGATGATGCGATATTTTAGGGAATTAAGCCGTTCCATAAAAGACCGAACCGAAAAAATAGCCATAAAAACCCTTATGTGTCTAGTATCAAAAAAAGCTCACAAAAGTTGAATCCAAATTTGCTCAAATATACAGGGTGATGCATTTGAAATTTTTGAGAAAAACTACAGTTTGAGTTTTTGACCACCCTGTATGAGCAGAAATTAAAATTCGAGAAAGTAACAAATAAGATAAAATCTGAGGTGTGTAAGTTTTTTTTGTTGCAAAATTCAGCACTCCAAATTACAAAACGGCGGACTGAGGGACAGCCGAAGTGAGGGGTTTTTCTAGACAAAACACTTTATATCTCAGTAGCCAATTACTAAAACCCCATAGTATGTTATACCAATTTTCTTCTTTTGAATTGGTATATCGAAATATGAAATAAAATTTGAGGCATTCCGTTTAAAAGATCACAACTTTGATATGTAGGTCGAAATTGGGACACCCTGCATAATGGCCAATACTTTAGAAATGTGTCCTCAAATGTCATGTATAACATGCCGTAAATAGATTTTCCCAAAATGTATTTGTTTCGCTTAGCATCATGGGATATATGAAAAAATACTTTATCCCGCGCTTTTCGTATAGTATATATTTTTGCATATGCGTACAACATAGTACATACATATAATAAGGTTTTCGTTCTTCATCCTTGCTTCTATTTTTTAACTGAAAGTAGATAGAACTTATAGTTATTGTGAGGACTAACAAGAATCCATTTTTCAAAGATTATAAACCTTCCTTTCTATTGTGGCATTTCTTTCAAGACGTAGGGGTGGTGCGTGCCACCTTGTTACGCACCAGTAGAATTATAATCTATCACCTGTGTGTGTGTGTGCTTTCATTGTTTACCACATACCGAGAGGAAAACACAGTACTAGTCCTGCTCATATACAATGAAAATAGGTTAAACCGTTATTTAATACCTTCGCGCACATTACACATCCCTGCAATTCAGATATCGCCAGAACCTGGCAACTTTATAGTTCTGATAACAATCCAGTGCAATCCAAGTTTATGGTTGACATGGAGTGACACATTCTCGTTACAGCGTAATTTATTATAACGTGATAACGATAAAACATCGAATACATACGGCAAAGGCTCCAAAAATATAGATTCATGATATAGATAGATTTTACTGATCTCTCTGTGGCGCTTGAACTATATCTATGCTTTAGTTCCCGGGATGATACATTTAACATTTACCTGTGCTTTTATGAGAATCACGATACTTTCTTGTAGTATTTCAATTTTCGTCACAGGCGTGATACGGTACAAATAATACGGGAAAGGCGGTACAGTGGAGTTAGTGGAATTGGCTAAATTTGCACACATTGTGGTCTCCTAATTAAAAGTTTCGGTAATGAACAGTTTTCGAGGTGTGGAGGCTCGAACAAGGATCAGGATAGATGGACCTGCTAAGGGCGCAATAAATAACGAAGTGACCTTTGATTTCAACGTATTTGTGCAACCGCTCTTCTGTTCCTTTCTACGCACAATGCAAACATCGGGTATAGTCATCGACTACTAAACACAGCTAGACCTTGCAACTCATTCATGGATTACCAATAAAATGCGTGAACACATCAAGTGGTGGCGAGGGGCACAGAGACGTGAGGGGATCTCGAAAATTGTTGACCGAAAAGCTGCTACCTACAGAGATTTGGCAACATTGCTGTGATTGTTTTTAACATACGCGTACCACAAAGCTTTGTGTCGCAGACATTAATGATGAGAGTCGTAGTATCGGCATCGAATTGTTATACAAGAAAATTAACGCAGCGAATATCATTTTCTCGACGAGTAATTAAATCTATACGATGGATGGCAAAACTATATAATAGGGAGAATAAGGTTCAAAATGCGCTATATTTATACTTTAAAAAGTAGTGTAGCAATCAAAACGCAAATAAGAAATATTTACCCAGCATACATCCTTGATCTAATGATTGGTCAAGGAAAATGCAATTAAGCATAAAAAGGCAATCATTGGTTACAGAAGTTGCATTAATAAATTGATGAACGTAGTCAAGGGGAAGTTCTGGGAAATGCAAATGCTTTAAAAACCATGTACATATTGGACTGTAAACAGGATTCTGTAAAAATAGTCTGTATAACGTTGTGCAGAAAAAACAAAGATGAAGATAATATAAAAATTAATTTGTATTCATATACATAGATGTCATTGGAACATACAATTTTATACATGATAATTTAGTTAGAAAATATGTTATATAGATATAAGGCACATAAATAATAAATACAAGTGAACATGAGCATACAAAAGCGTCTAACATTTCGGTTAAGTACATAGATATGAATACATACTAGGGAGATAGGAATATATATACAGGGTGGCGCATCGAAAACGAAACAGACGCATTTACTGGCAACTTAGTTTTTTTTTTAAAAACGCTCAGACCCGTCGATTTTGTTTTCGAGGGGGACACAAGTTTGGCAAAAAAATCACGTTAGCACGTGCAGCCCCCTAAGCGGGGGTGACATCACCCCCAAAATCTTTCAATTCCCTTTATAGTGATATAAAATTAATGTACTTCAGTTCAGTAGTTTTGAAGATTCATTGATTCAAAGCTTAAATAAAACTAATACACCATCATTAGTGGAGATCAATACATTTGGTAGCAAAGTAATTTAAAAATGAAGAATGAACTATATCCGTTAGGCAAGTAAATGTTGAAAATGGCTAACATGACTCTCCATGCAATAATAAAGATTTTGGTCAAAACGTTGCCGCACATTTTGCAATATTTGAGGAGTAATTTGGAGGCACTCATTCACAATTCTTCGTCGCAGGTCTTCTAATGATGTTGGCTAAGTAGCATAGATTTTGCTTTTTAAATGACCCCACATAAAGAAATCCAAAGGTGATAAATCTGGCGATCTTGGGGGTCATTCAATGGCACCTCTTCTACTAATCCATCGATCTGGAAACGGCTGATCTAAATATTGTCGAACACTTAATGCGTAATGTGGTGGGGCACCATCCTGTTGGAACATCAACCTATTCGCAATGTACCGCCGATCATTCTGATTTTCAATTATGGCTGTTAATGCAGGATCTATGGCGTCTTCCAGTAATTCCAAATACATTTTACCGGTCAAATTTCCAGGCAAGAAAAAAGGACCAACTAAGTGATCGCCAAAAATACCAGCCCAATCATTTAATTTTTGTGGCTGCTGTGTATGAACCTCATGATAAATTCTGGGATTAGAATCGGACCAATATCGGCAGTTATGACGATTTACTACGCCATTTAAGAAAAAGGAACATTCGTCGGAAAAGCAAGTGTTGAATAGAAAATGTTCATCGTTTATAATTCGTTCACTCGTATTTTCACAAAATTGTAATCGCCGATCAAAATCGTCTTCATTAAGTTCTTGTACCAGGTATATTTTATACGGATGAAAACTATGCGCCTTTAGAATCCGTTGGACAGTACGTCGACTAACACTACACACAGTCTCCAATTTGCGGGTACTTTTAACGTAGGATCTACATAAACTTGCCTAAAACCCCCACCTCTATTGATACGTTCCTTATGGGATTTTCAGTGTTGCGTTTTTTATTGGCGACTGACCCAGTTTCCCAAAATTTAGCTACAAGTTCTAGAACATATTTTCGATGCACGTTACTGTTCTCATGTCGCACATTAAATAGTTCTGCTGTTCTATTAGCGCACTGATTATTTCCGAAAAATATTTCGATAATATCAACTATTTCTGCTGTGGAGTATAACATGGTTAATTTATGTAATAAAGCGTTACAAGTTATTTTAGCAACAAAGTTTGGTCAAATCAATCGCAAACTATGTACTAAATTCCTATTTAATAAAAAGTACGAGATATTTCCTTATCCTTCTTCAAGAAATAACTTTTTTGCCACAAAAAAACGCTCCAATAGCCATTATAATTATAATAACAAAATGGTAAACAAACCATGGGCGTAGTGAAGAAAAGCATTTACTTATTAAGTAAATTCTTTTAGTCAAATTTCTTCTGGAAGTAGTTCAAACTAATCTGAAGTACCTATTAAAGTCTACTTTAAGTTTTAAATAAATAATTCTTCAAAACTCCTGAACTGAAGCTCATGTATTTTACATCATTATAAAGGTAATTGAAACGCTTTCAATATAAGGTATCACTCGACCTACCTTTCCATTTAAGATTTTAGGGTTGGTGTCACCCCGCCCAGGGGGCTGCACGTGTTAACGTGATTTTTTGCCAGACTTGTGTCCCCCTCGAAAACAAAATCCACGGGTCTGAGCGTGTTTCCAAAAAAAAAACTGAGCTGCCAGTAAATGCGTCTGTTACGGCTAATAACCATAGAAGTTGACGCCGTCAAAAAAAAAAAAATAATGCGTCTGTTTCGTTTTCGATGCGCCTCCCTGTATATATATAATCAATACAAAATGAAATCGTATTAAGTATTTTTAAATACTTCCCTGGGTATCTATAAAAGCCGTATTTTTGAATCAGTTAAATCACATAAACCCAGAATGTTGTTTCATCACAGATTTTGTTTTCAGTATGTTCTACAAGCTTAAAAACTACAGAATAAGGATTTTTATCTTGATTAAGTTTCCGTAAGAGCATCATATGTTTTTAAAAGCTAACCTTTTTCTGGCTGAGCTTTTGTCAGCGCGCGTAGTTTGGCTACAGCTGAACTCTGCTGGTGTAATTCTTACATAATCTTACTTCACTAACATATCATCGGTTGAAAGAGAACTGAAAAGAACCATCATTAAGTGATCCTGCTCATAACATATTAAATATAGAGATTTTCTCATATTTCATATTGATAGTGAACCAATTGAAATGTATTGATATGACAATGTTTTATGAGAGAATGTTTGCCATCCAGGAAACACCATGAAAAATATTTCCATACCATCGAAATCACATCATCACAAATCACAACAACAAACATTTGTTTGTAACAAGAGGTTTTATATTCAAATACACACCTTAAAGTTTCTGAACTGGAGAGATCAAGCGCTGCATGCATCTGAATAGATACATCGTCCCTTTTCAGGAGTCTGGACCCATCTTCTCCATACACCTAATCAATCTCATTGAAGTTTGAGCATATATCTGCCAATTTTGGTAATTTATGGTCTGGAGTATACCCCAAAGCAGACAACCAACATTGACCTCTTTGAAGGTTATTAGGCATCCTAAAAATAATAACACCACATAAATAATATTTTTAGAAATTGTGTAGAAATTGTCATTAACCTTATCACATGTACGAGTAGCTTTTGGATAATTTTCGTCACAATAACGCTAGAATTATTATTATTATTAGAGATTTCAAACTGACATTCACATAATTAGAGATAAGTGATGGATTATACGTTATCATCTTACTTTTACGCATCCGATATTTCTCTATAGTGTTATTAGTTAAGATTGAAATACTGTTTTGAACAAGCCGCTTTCATAAAATTTTCTTTGATTAAAGACCACTCTTGGTTCTCCACAATATACATTTATTCGTAAATTGAATCATTTTGTAGGACCATGCAACTTGAAATATAGGACAAAATCAACAGTATAAACCTTTTGACTAATATCATATAGTAATTAAAACAGCAGCATTAAAATACCACTTGACGCTGGCAATGGCGTCTTGCAATTTCATGTTGCCAGTATATACTCACCTGTGAAACGTTAATTGTTGGGCGCCGGGCTGGTAATCACACACTTTAAACAAATAGCACACTCTAACCATTGTTGATTTTGATAAAAATTGCTGAATAACACAAAAACAGCACTAACCGTATTCCAAAATGCAAATGAAAGCTCAACAACATAGAACACACTGTACGAAGCACAAGGACGAAAGGCAGTTATTTTTCAGATATGAATGAAGGTGGGTATGGCCTAAGTACGTCTGGGTACTATGATCGTAGCGGTTTTGCCGGATCAAGCTGCAAGTTGCCGTAAAATTCATCGGCTGTTCGATATTCGGCAAAATAATTCGCGCTTCGTTCTCCGCTTAACGCTTAGTGAACGGACTGTGTTTCTATTATAAATTTCCAGTCGATAAATCTTCCAAATACATTGTTTCAAATGCTCAAACGCCTGTTCGAATAAGGCTTTGTCGCAGATATTCGGTCAACAATTCAATTCTGGCAACACGGAATCGAAGCTTCGCGATTTCTTCACCCAATTTCAGGAGCTTTTGCCGAGTCTAGCTGTGTTTCGTAGTCGATGGGTATAGCAGACGACAATGCTTTTAGATTCATTTACATTCTTTGCCGATAGTCATAAAACGGTTATAAAACCGAGAACCGGAGCCATGAGGACAGAGACGTATCTGAAAATTTTCAAACATTTTCTCTTGCAAGTCTGGATGAGAAGAGAGATGACTGCATCAAGTTGTAGAAGTAACGTTGATTGTTATAGGTTCCATCAATTCTTGAAGTACCATCTCTGCTGTGGGAATGCCATTGCGTTTATAATGGTCATACACTATGCTCATTATTTTGGCAGTTGTTGCCGCACTTAATGGTATAGATGTCCCCTTGTCAATTCTCCTTTTTCTTGGTTTGACATCGTTACGAATAATTTTACAAATTGTAGGATACCTATGGCACGTTAGTTAGTTTAGCTGTATTTTTAAGGACGCTGCTATTGCCGCTATCACCCATTTCACGTAACAGATCATTATAAACATCAATGCAAATCTGTTGAGCATTAATATACCGGCACATCTTTTCAGAAATACGACGGTATTCCTGACTGTCATTGCTGACCTCGTTACTACTATCAGTATCATGCGCACCGACAGTATCACTGCCCGAAAAGACTTATACAGATGAACCAGATTCCATTATTATTTATGCCGTATCATATAACGACCGTATTAGATGGAGGGTCGGTAACACAAGGAAGCAGAAAAAATGTAAACTAATCTAAAAGCGTTGTCGTCTACTATATGTATTCATTAAAGCTAGACACCAGTTCACCTTATGTAAATGTCACATGATCAGTATTTACTGATCACTGACATTCGAACTAGAAGTTCAAGTATATATAGGTATATATATCTCGGCGTCAAAGGCTGAAATCCGTCATTCCCTGAAAGTCCCCGTATTGAAGGGAAACACCGTAACAGTTTGATTATTACAACATTTGACTAAGCATTTCAGTCATTCCCTGTAATGACTGAACAATTTCAGTCAAACACTGCAACAACCACGTTAACTTCGTTACTGCATTCTCCTATTTTAGTCAAACGCTGTAATCAATACAGTGTTGCTCCAATGAAGTACATGCTGCTTTATCAATAATATTGAAAGAAAAATAATCAGTCATGAATTAATCTAAAAGGAAAGAAGAATAGATTAAAACGTTGTCTTTATTATTACGTTATTGTGGACATTAATCATTAATGTATTAAATGAACTAGAAATATCCTGAAACTATCGAAAGAATCTAAAACAAACATTAAAAAAAAGAAAATGCAGAACTGCGAGTGGTGCCAAACGAATAAAACTTACATAGAATTATCTTATATTTTATATTATTTCAAACATTATTGGTTAGCGCATGTTAGACATCTATAGCACCTTGAATTACACATTACACATCTATTGGATAAACATTCCTTTTTCATGTTTTTTCTTATTCACACTGTCATAGTATTCACTCAGTTTCTAGTAATACAATTCTGAATGCTGCGACATCTGTACAAAGACAGAAAGGACGATGTGTGTACTCAAGCAAATGAACACAACACTGGTGCAATGAATGACTGAATCAGGCAAATGTAGTAACGAAGTTAATGTGGTTGTTACGGTGTTTGACTGAAATTGTTCAGTCATTACAGGGAATGACTGAAATGCTTAGTCAAACGTTGTAATAATCAAACTGTTACGGTGTTTGCCGGCAATACGGGGACTGACTAGGCATTTAAGGGAGTGTTAGATTTCAGCGTTTGACGTGGACATATATGTAGTTCTTTTCTGTACACTGCGCAGGTCGATCGGTAACGCAGCTACTACTCTTTCTGTCACAGACATGAGTTAGTTAATAGAGGACCGTTTCCTTAAGTCACTTTTTGAAAATAATTAATACACTTGACACAGACTGTCGACATTGTAGTTGTACCTTCAGGCATTGCTTTGTTTCATATTGAAGAAAAACAAAATGTGACCCCAGATCGCTCGCTCGTAACAAGCAAGTTGTCATACTGGCAAAGATAAACATAAACATGAAATACTCATATGGTGACAAGAAGATTCGTAAGCTGCACTATATGCTTTATCCACAGTAACAGAGACAGCAAGTATCCATAGTTCCATTCACGGTTTTAAGCAGGTCACAGTTAAACTACCAGAGGGTTATTACGTAAAAAAACCTATATATTGTCAAAAAAACCGAATTGCTCGCTATGAGCATTGTAAGCGTCATCCTAGCGTACTCTATGGAGAAATGACTCAACGACATGCTTTGCTGGTTGCAGAATGCCGAGATAGATTTTCTACCTTCCACATCTCTGAGAAGAATAGCAAGATCGCATCTGGATGATTGTGTGGTGATTGTGTATATTGGTCTGCATGTGTATAAAATCAGTGATATTTGCTATGTGAGACAATTATTACTAAACATTCTACTAGACGGATCATTTGTGTTGTTCTTTCAGAAGAGAGCTTATGTTCAAAGCTATACATTACAATTTTCCCCGTTCTTTTTGCGACTACAAAAACTCGGAAATCGCTGCCGCGCCCGCGATGCGTGTAATTAAGTCACATCACAGAAAAATTGGATTGACACATCATACACAAAGCATTTTGGCAGTGCCTCACATCTAGGCGCGGATTTGTATTTTCTACTCGACATCGCAAAATAAATTTCTATAAAATTTATATTACTGGAAATAAAAATGATGTAAAATGTAATAACCTTTTCACATTTCGTAAATATTCTTGTCTGTAGGCTGTTTTCTCACCAGTTATAATATTTTACCATCCAGATATTTTCTTTTTATATCCCTCTCATCTTTGAAATTCAGCAAATTTACATTATGTGATTTCTAGGATCAAGCATACATCTCAAGTAAGTGAATTTGAGATAAGAAGCTGAGAGAATTATCATCAACACAGCTTAGCATACAAATCCTCACCATTTACCTATGACCTGTCGTTTTATTTCAGCTATAGTATACAACTTACAGTTTAGATCTCCAATGGACTCATCTATGGAGCAGATTTTACATAACATCAGAGCCAAACATTATTACCTGAGGCACGAGTGCGCAGCTAGTCTTAAGTTGACATCTTGTCAAGAACTTATATAATGTCACTTTCCAAGATACATAATACCCCTGCCGATATCACATTCACACACCCAAATGCAATATGCCTTTATGCGTAAGCTCTCAGACATACGTTCTTTAGTTTCGTCTGGCCACCTAGAAGACTTTCTTGCCAACGTATAAGTATCGCTCATCTTCATTTTCCCTGTCAGTGTCATAGTCCACTTGCTATGAGCATGCAATTCGAGTTCACATTTTGTTGAGTTATTTCAATTTTGTCAAATTGGTAGGCCACCTTTAGAAAATGAATGAAAGTAACGGTTTTTTATTACACAATTCATGTGAGCAACGTCACCGCCAAAAGATGCTTAAAGCCCGTTATGTATGTACTTGTCTCTGAGGCAGACCCCTAAACCTCATCTTTGACCTTGTCCACTATAGTACTTTGTGGAAATCATAATGTACCTAACCATGTGACAAATTTAGTCAATTCAACGGTACCCCGTTTCTCCCAATTTGTGCCTCACCCTTTACGATTCTTTTAAACCTTGAGTGATTAAAGCCTATAATGATCTACAAAACTTTGGCTGTTAACCTACAAGAGCGTCTCTTATGGCTAGCAGGCATGAACAAAAAATGGCTAACCAGCTTTACAGTGCTTTACACTGTATATTGTGAATGAAAGAGACGACAGTTTCTTTAGTGGTATTGTAACATTGCTCCGTGACGACCTTCCATTTTGATCATTCGAAGCATTTTTTTAATTTATCTCTAGCTAAACTGCATTGCTGCCAAGACACAAAACCTGTAAAATGTAGTTGCGGGCACAGCATCTACGTACAACGCCCCATAGTGCTTAATATATCGGTGCAAATATACTGTGAGTACTATAAATATATAAACATTTCACGAACAGATCGAGTTTATCTTGCCCGCATCACACAATGGACTGTAGTTGTGCATTGTACCACATCCTGTTGTATTATTGTTTGAATAACATTTATCCGTAATTCAAGTTCCACCGAACAATAGCTCTAATTTGAAATGTATTGAAATATATTTGATTACCTGCATTTACCTACCTACACTAAACGGCCTCAAAATTCAATGAATTTCATGAAAATATGTTTAATGAGTACAATTGATTTTAATGAACCAGACAAATCAGAATTAAATGAAACACTACCGCACACCTTTGTTATAGTTTGTATGTACACTGATGCAGGATATATGCCCTTCTTCAAGTCGAAGGCAATATTCATTTTAAGGACGTGGGTGATCATCCTGGCTTTCACGATTATATTGGTTGCTATCAGGGAATAGTTGTGTTGAAGGTTTTCAAACTACGCTTTTAAGATGGCCAGCCAGGATTTTTACCGTGGAGCTCTTTCTTTCGACTCCCCCCTGTAAGCTTTACTGGAGTAGCTTCATCCATGATATTTCCAAAATCCTTCATTATATAAATAGTCCAAAAGCTTCGAGTTTTGATGTTTCTCCTGTTGATGCCCATATCCCAACACCGTACAGATATCCGATCAAGCTCCAGGCGAGGCGCACCAATATCATGGTCAGGCGGATAGCAACCCTCTGTTTACTAAGTCGAAGAGCCTGGGTGTTTTATTTGCTCTTCTCCGTTTTTTCCTCGTTTCCAACTTTCTCCGCCCTTTTCCTTAACATTGTCTGGTTAATGGGCAACCCAGCTATGAATGAGTAAATGTTCTACAGACCACCTAGACACAAAACGAGTCACCGAGTGCACATGGCAGTACCTGAGCGTTCGCCGAATCCGAGTGTTGTGCGATAAGCGCGCACTATTTTAACTTGGTTATGCCGTACGCATCTAGAGAGGAAAATTAATAATGTTTTTGATTATGCAACCGTGTATGGCGCTGTTTCAGTCTTATTGGCAATCACCAGCACAATCTATGTCTCTAGGGAGGACAACGACAGGTGCAATTTAAAAATAGATGCTATCAATGAAAATAGCAGACATTCAGTCCACTTGAGGTTAGGAGCAGCTTGAAGTCCAAACTGACAATTCTCTTTTGGTCTGATAAAGGGTCGAACTGCGTGCGCGGCGATCAATTTGGTTCCCGCCACTATGCACTTCACCCTTGGCGATTAGACGACACTGTATTGTCGTATTCTGCTATCTAGAGGAAGAGGGGAACACTTTAATAGCGGAAGTGGTGTGAAACTGGGTGTCTTAATAACAACAAAAAATAATAATACATTTATTTGATGGTTAAATATAAAACATATTAAAAGTGAATAACAATACAATACATATTAAATTCCACCTTTACGTGCAAAGAACTCTTCCAAGCTACAAAAACTCTTAGCTGTAAGAAGTGATTTCAACGGACTTTTGAAACTGCTTAATGTTGGTGCTTTTTGAATACCATCTTTTGAATTATTGACAATGTTGAGCGGGTATCAGCAGATCTTTAGATCGAGTTAGATCAGCGAGTTCTTCTTTGTTGTTAAAGAGGTTCAATTTATTTTTATATAAAAACATTGATAATTCATAAATGTAAATACTACCTACTCTTAAAACTCTTAAGGGTAGAAAATAATCCCTGCAAGATTGGCGCAATTAAGATTTGAAATTTGTTCTTGTAACATTTCTGGAGAAGAAACACCGTATCTATAAACGAGCAGCATCCCCAGCTTAAAATGCCATAGCGCAAGTGAAGTAGTAGTAGTATAGAATAAGTAAAACGTGCTTAGGATGAGGACGTCCCGTTTGTCTTTCCATTTTAGCACTGTTATGCCTGTATTACTTTCTTCAGCAGCGATGTCACCCTTATTAAGTTTCTTATCTATTGTCTTTTTAGGATTTGATTTTCTATTAGATCGCAAAGTACCTATAAGGTGCGTTTCTCGGTCTAACAAATTATGAGCCAAAGAGACTGATGTATAATAGTTATCAGTACAAAGAGTTCTGCCACAGTCTAATAAATTATCTAACAACGTCATAACTACTTTTGTTGGCACAGATTCTCCACCATCAAACTTCTTTCCACAATAAATGCGAAAGTTATATGTAAAGCCGCCTTTTAAACAAAGTTTAAACAGTTTAATCCTAAATTTATGCCTCTTGTTACTTATGTACTGCTTGAATTTAAAACGTCCCTTGAATGGAACTAGGGTCTCGTCGATACATAACGTAAGTATTCGCCAGGAATAATATATTTTTGAAAAGATTTCTGCAGCTTCTTTATAAGTGGTGTAATTTTTTGCAACCTGTCCTCAGACTCTATTGAATTATCGCTGAAATGTAACATCTTCAATAATAACTGGAATCGATTGCGTGACATAACGCTCCGTATACGGTTTTGAAATAAAATATTTTTTGACCAGTAAATTTGCATATTAGAAAATTGGTACAAACCCATCCATAAAATGATGCCAAAAATTTTTTTGATTTCTTCTGAAGAAGTATCATGCCACTGTGTGATACGAGACTTTGGGAAAATATTTTTTTCTAGGCATTACTTCGCATATCGGTTAGTTTCTACAACCTGCAACCGAAAATGTTTTGAACAATCTGTGCAAATTATGTAACAAAATAAGCTTACCATCAGCTCTATTATTTCATTATTTAGAAACAAGCAGTAAAATGCATAAGGATCTTTGTCAAAGTAATTCTCGTAAAGCTCAGGAAGAAATCCATGTTGTGTTAGTGTAAATCCAATATTTTTCAGATTATTCCCTGTCACCCCAAGTTATTTCAAGGTGTGCATTGCGTGAATCCTCGGCAATATCTTCATGAGCAAATTTTTTAAATACTTGGTCTATTGTTTGATCCATTGAAGAGGGCAATTCAGTTGGAGCAACGACAGTACTAGTACTGGGAATAGCGAGTAATTTCTGCCCCTTTGAGCCTACAGTTTGCTCATAATCGGAGTCGTCTTCGTCAGACGAAGCTGGTACATAGTCATCTGAACTGTCATCGGACACTGGATTATTTTCCTCGTCAGACATAAGTTCTTGCCACAATCGCATCAACCTTTCTTGCTCTTTTGCGTATGACATTATCACAAAGGCAATTGCAAAAATACACTCGCACGTAGATAGTCAACGTCAAGACAACATAGATATTACCGACTGAATAAATTTTTGCGCCGAATAAGCTAAATCGTCGCGACACCTGTATCGCCATTGGTGATTGGCTGAGCCAGTGGCGTGATCCTGGAGATGTTTCCGAGTATCGATACGTATTTCACTCGATACAGAAAATAGAGATGATCCTAACTATCGATACCTATTTCACTCGATACAGAAAATAGCAGCACCGCATTGGTCTCGCTCGGCAACAAACTTAGTTTTCAACTTATATTGCCGCGTGAGACCAATGTGGACTCGCATTTTGAAAATAAAATTCATGAACAAAATTACATTTTTGCACCTAAATTTAAGGTTTACTAACTAAAGATAAGGTCAGCTTGATAAAATTAACAACAAAATAACAACTGGCCAATTGAAATGGGTTTTCAATGAACATTTTGGCACTTTACGTGTTAAACATCATCGAAAAGCGATCATAGCGAGCAAACGTGCAATGAACTATTTGCACAGTAAAATCTACATAGATGACATTTCGTCGTTTTTTTACGTTTTTTAAGTTTTTTTACATAATACCCGTGCGGGTAGCACGTATCTTGAAAAGTAAGATTTTGTCGTTTTTTTTACATTTCGTAGGTTTTTTATGATATAACGTAGGTTTTTCTACAATATGTTAACTTAGCACATGCTGTTGTATATTTGTTGTGAACTCGTTTAGTAGCTGTACGCTTTGCTTAAACGTTAGCGAACAGCGATGATAGCGAGCAGCTATTACCTAATACCCTGCCGTTAGTCAGTATGACGTCATTTGAAGGTTATTTCAAGGTCAAACTCAAAATAATTCTAGCATTTGAGTCCATACACATGTTATAATTATTTGCGGCCGTGTCGTCCAGAATCAAAGACCAGTTTATCTGTTTGAAGGTCATTCGAAAGACACTGACCATCAGAGTTGTTATGTAAAAAACCTATATAATGCCCAAAAAAATCTGTAAAATCTATACCTGTATACTGGGTACCCGCTAGTATGCCGCTAGTTCCTTCGGCGCTTACTACAAGTGAACATGAAGTGAATGTCAGCTAGTTCACAGGAGATATTTTATATCAAAACCTAAATAATGTTAGAAAGCCTACATAATGTCTTTAAAAATCGATATTTCATTGTGCGCGACTTTTGTATGCTCTTGTATCTTTATTGTTTGCTGGCTATTGAAATCCTTGTTCACTGACATAAGGCGGTAGAGTAGAAGTTATAACAGTGAAAAAAGCATTGTTGATGTAACATAGGTTGACTATGGAATAAGCATGATGTATCTGCATCAAGTTTCTTACATTATGATAGACTTACTATTGGTTATAGAAATACTTACAGCTGATGTTTCGTTTTCCTGAAAACGTGACGAAAGATGTTTTGTTTACTTCGAATCGTTTCTTGATTTTTGCTTTTTCACGGGTCGGAGCTGTATTTTTTGTGTTTTATTATTGTTCGTTCATTTATTTTCTATTCATTGGCCAATGGTTACCTTTAAGTCAATTCTAATTTGTGCCAATTAGCAAATAGTATGGGTATGAACATCCATGTTATACAGTGTGTCCCAAATTCGCTTCTCTATACAATGATCTCGGCTCCTGTTATACCTATAGCAAAGGTTAACTGGGGAAATTTTTAGAGGAAACTCAGTGCATTCGATAGCCGGCTTCAGATTTACGATCGGTCATTTGGGTTTATAAATATCGGCGAACAACTGAAAATGTCGAGTTTCGTTTTTTGCCAGTAAATCCGAAACGGTTAATTTGACAGCTGTCAAAATTAGACACTATTCCGACATTTTTTTAAGGCAAATAAGATAGCGTGTATGAAATGTCTCAATCGTCTTTTGTTTTCCCGCAACCTGCCTCAACTTTCGTTTTTCTTGAGGACGCCATATTTGATTTTTCGATTTTCGAAAACAGCGGAGAATTTCCAGCCTAATGATGTCTCACAAGTGCATAAAAGATTCGAGTATCATCGAAATATCATCACACGTTATGTTATGTAGTAACTCTTTTCTAAGGAGGCCATGATTTATTAGTATGTCAGAAAATGAAATTAATAAGTAACGCATTTTTTTGTCTAAGGATCTCTGACTTTGACGTTGAATAATTCATAGTATTAACACTGTATTTCAATAAGTAGTAGGATGCTTCCTCTCATTAAAATCATAAGTCTGACAAAAAAAGTTGTCAACACCTGTTGAACATGGCCGGGATTTCTTACTCAAGTGAAGAAAAGTTTGACAGAAATGCCATTACCTCAGCAAGGTACTTGGCGATGTACCCCAAACGACGGTAGCCTCATAAAACCCATTCTTAAAAAATAGTAATTAATTTAGTGGCCCATGGGGACTT